AGATAAAACTTCAAGATAATTTTAAGCAAATTTAATTATTTACAAATATTAATAAAAATGATTTATATAATATAAATTTTATCTAAATTTATAGCTGTTAAACAAAGTCTATAGTCTTTTAGTCTAAATTTTAATGAAATTAGAATGGATTAAGTCTAGTAATCCAATAATCTAATGGTCCAAAAGTCTATTAGTCTAAAAGGTTAATACTGGTTGTCAAGATGAGTCTTCAATCTATCAGTTGATTTTTATTTTTTATTAAATTTTGATGACGTAATAATATTATAATTATCATTATCTAAATCCTTACAATTATTTGTTAACATCATCAAAATGGAGATTTTAGTATCAGAATTAACTTTTTACATTCATATGTAAGATGTTTTTTAAGTTTTAACACTTTTAATATTATTTAAAGATATTCACAAAAAGAACAAGTTGCTGAATAAAGATTTTTTAGAATCTGATACTTAGTCTTCTTTTATAAATTACTTCATATCTTACTAGTAGAACACTTACCTACTTTTTTTAAATCAAATAACATTTTTAAATTTTAATATTTACAATTTATATTTTAAAAAAATTAATTCTAATATATATATAAAAAAATTAAAATATAAATCATAATGTAAATTATCAAAGAATAACAAGAGAAAAAATTTTTTTATTGATCATAATCAGAACATCAAATTAACTGATTTTGATTATTTTTATTTTAAGGTTTCAATTTAATAATAAGTTTTGGTTGAGATTTCAGATTTTGATTGATGTTTCAGATTTTAACTGATATTTTAGTTTTGAAAATAAGTATTCTTAAACTGAAACTGTCCAAAATCTAAAACTGAAATTAGATCAAAATTGAAGAGGTTTTAACTATATATATATAATTTGAGATTTTTATAAATTTTAGCCAAAAATATCAGAAGGATATTTTATATAAAAAAGTAGTTTACAAGAGTTTTTTGTATTAAATTTATTAATTATATAAAGCTATTTTAAAATATATTTATTTGTATTTTTTTTATTCTTAAAAGTTGTTAAAACTCAATTTACAAACAAATTAATAATTTCACAAATTGTAAAATATTTATTATTTATAAGAATAGAAATTTTTATATTAAATTTTATAAAGAAAAAAGTGAGTAAAAACAAAAATAATAAAATGTAAAAAAATGGTTAATAAATAAAATTTTACCATTATATATAAATTATATGAAGAGAGACTATTATTTATATTTTATTATAAAATAACAAATATGTATTTTTTTTATAGATTTAGATATATAAAATTAAATATAATATGTATTTAATATGTTTACAAATATATTTCTTTTTAAAATCAAGATTTTGAATATAGAATTTAACTTCATCAGGAAAATTTTTATATATAAATTTGTATAAGTCTATATGTAAGATTATAAATTTGCATAAGATTGCATAAGATTAAATAAGTTTATATGTCTTATATAAATCAGGAAGAGCTGGAGATATTTTTTTTTGTAATTACGACCAGAGTTAAATTAATTAATTTAGAAAATCCTTAGCCGACCTGAGTTAAATTTAACCGGTTAATTCAAATCTGTTAACCGGTTATTAACCGGTTAAAGTTTTTTAGGCCTCTTCAAACTTTTATTTTAGAATCGATATTATACTATTGTTCTGATTATAATAGTTTCCCATAGTTCTGCTTGTCACGATCTTACTAATACGGGTGAATTTCTCAAATGGAAATATGAGTCTGCCCAAAAATATTCAAGATTATAGTTTTATGGTTGGAGAAGGAATTTTCGGAAAACGAATTCTATTTATAAACTTAGAGTTAAGCTTTTTATGCAATGAATCCGGAATAAACTAACCTGACAACAATGATAACGGGTTGTATGGAAAAATACATATTGTACTAGAAATAAATTTTATTTCAAGGTAATGAATGAAATTTATTTTCAAACGATACAACAAATTTGCAATTAAAAACCAATTCCCAAAAATAAAACCTAATAGTAGATAAACTTAATCTTGATGTAACAATCAACATTGATTATACCTTTTCGAATCGGTCGAATCTTACAAATTTAATTATGATGATTTTTTTTAATGCACGGTAATTTTCTTTTAAAATTTATCCAATTATATAAGCACATAAATATTCAAAGCATACAATTATGGTATGTTCCGATATTCCGATATTATAAGTTATGAACGACAAGATTGAGTTTACATTCAAAATGAATTTTATTTGGTCAAGATTTTGGTTCTAAAGTTAATAAATGAATATTTTTACACACTATATTTATTAAAAGTAGACGCATTCGCCAATCATAATAACTACAATTTTGTTCCAATTACCTAATTGGTTAATGTTCTAAAATTTATTTCTGATTTTCAACAAACTAAATCTTCATGATTGATGTAACGTGCGATTATATAGAGATGACTATCTACTAGTGGGTATCTCTTACCTGCAACAAAAGTCAATCTATTCCTGTAGAGGGTTGTTGTCTGTATTAGAGTTTAATAATTTAAGGTGAATTTGTGGGGAAAAATTACTGGGTGTACTAGATCACGTGGGACTAAAATATTAATCAACCAAAGTCACGTGCCGGAAACATGGACGAGACGATTTGATTCAACTTCAGGATTTCTATCAACATAATAAAAAAAAAAAAATATCAAATCCAATTTTTTTTTTTGATGGAATATACAAAGTCTGATGTGATAGTTCAACAGTTAGGAAATTATTCCAATGACCCATTAAATAATTTAGACAGTATAATTAAACTTTTAAAGCAAATTACTTTTACAACTCAAAGTAACTTGACATACAGGTAAAGTTGAACTTATATTATTTTATTGTTTTGAAGTTGATTTATTGATAAATCCATTTGCTTTTATAGGGAGACCTTAGGGAATAAATTTCAGTTCTGGATAGTTACAACCAAACTTTGGGAGTGGTCAAAAGAAAAGTTTTTAAAAGAGGAACTTATTGTCTTGCCTATCGTATTAGAGCTCGTTCGACTTTTTCGAAATATTGTCGCGGCAGTTTCCGAAAATCAAAACCAAGCCTTGTATGTTTACTGTTACAAAGTTTGTAATGAACGTAAAAATCGATATATATTTAAAAACTTAATTCTTATTATACCTTTTTCCTTAGGGAGCATAAATGGAATAAAATTACCGAGGAAATTTTGTGGTACTCTATGTTAAAGTTCAATTCTGAGGCTGATAATAATTGTGTGTATATATATATTTATAATATAAAATTGATTATCCAAAATAATCTGATGATTTGAATTAACAATTATTTGGATTCGAAGTTATTTCGATTATAAGGTTCGGATCGCAAGCGTTATCCAATGCTATAACCGGGAATGCAGGTGCTCAAGAAATTATTTGGTCGGATTACACGAATCGAAATGAATCCAATGATATCTTAAGGTAAGTAGATCTTGCAAAAGATGCAATATTTCAATATAATTTGCAATGAATGACTTGTTTATCATACATAGCGAGCTTGTTAAGTGTGAGGATAGTGTTGTCTTGACGGGTGCTTTAATCCTTGTATATAATTGTGTACATGAAAGCGAATCTCGAAGGTAAGTTATAATATAAAAAAGAAATATCTATGTAATCAAGAAAGTATACATTTCGACTAATCTTTTCTTTTACTTTCTTTTTTTTTAAAAAAAAAAAACAAAAAAAAAAGTAAGGCGTTAATCGAATCACAATCGGGCATACACCTTTTAGAACTTTTATTAGAACGAGCCGAAGAACTTCTTGAAGATGAAAGCTCCCAAAATTTTGAATTAATGTTGTTTATATATCATTGCTTTTCGATTTCTTAGGTCGTAAGAATTATTTATGAATTCGGTTTATTATTTAATTTTACATAGATACGCGTTAGTTTCGCGTTTAATAGACTTTAGCCTTTTCCCATTATTATACGATTCATTAAGTCAACCACAAAGGTAGTACCATTTCGTTTTAATCTAAACATTTCCAAAGAATAAATTTTAAAAAATTTTCCTCATTTTTTCTAGACAGGCTCCAACGCGACATCAAATTATACTACTAAAAATTCTTGACTCCAAATTTTTTTCATCATTAAAAATCGATGAATTTTCTATTTCCTTATGCGTTTGTATTATAAGAGCTTTTCATTCAATTTGTCATCAAGTCATATATTCCATGCAACTAGTTGAAAATGATTCCATAATGCCTTCAAAAAGTCAAGATGATCAACAACACGAAGGTTCGCGCCTATTATATACCGGATTAGTATTGTTCCTTCAATGTATTGGAAAAATGAGTCAAGAAGGAGATAAAAAAGTACGCGAATGTTTATTCAAAGAAGGGATTATCGCATCCAGTATATGTAAGGTTCATTTTTATAAAATTTGCAAAAAAAAAAGAAGTTATTAATCATTACTTTATTAGCTCTTTTATTTCAGGCCGATAAGTCCCTTCCACGTATGACTAAAGCAACCGATACTCAAATTTCACATACATTTCAACAGGCTTCTTCAGGATTCGCGTTCATTAAAAGAGATATCGTGAAAATCATAGGTAATATGGCATATGAAAACAAGATTGTTCAAGATGAGGTTCGCGAATTAGGTGGAATTCCATTAATATTAAATCAATGCAATATTGATGACAATAACCCTTGTGAGGATTCTTTTTTTTTTTTTAAAAAAAAAAAATATCACTTCTTTCTTCCATCTGTAAAAGATATTAAAATAATAATTTTTTTTTTTTTTTTAGATATTCGGGAACATGCGATCTTTGCTTTACGAAATATTTTAATTCACAATCCTGAAAATCAAAAACTTGTTGAGCAACTTGCGCCAATTGAAACAGTTCAGCATTCAGCCTTACAAGATGTTGGTATTATGACAGAACTTGGAAAAGATGGGAAAATAAAGTTAACTACAAACGTTCGAAAATGAATTTATTGAAATTATTATATTAACGTAAATTGAATGATGTAACTATGAACTATATTATGGTTCATTCACTAGCTTTCCTACATATTCATATTTTGCTGAAAAATGATTGTGCCAATCCCTAAGGCTCTCTTCCTCTTCTGATGTCAAGTCTTCTAAAGTGTCAAGAGGTTGATCAATTGGAGTGAGCACATCCGTATCGAAAGAATTCTTTGCTAACCCACGGGAAGCATCACGTCCAGCAAAATTTCCGTAAGGGCCCTCTATAAAAAATTTAGGTTTGTTAATGTTAAATTCCGTCGAAATTCACATAAGCAATATATATATACCTGGACCGTAAAAGTTACGTCCTTTGGTTACATCATAGACTTGACCACAAACGCCCATATAAATTTTCGTTTGTGGAGTCCTTCCGTCATATTCCCTTAGTTGTTTCGGTGAATATTCTCTAAAAATAGTTGTCTCGGGATGTTTTGCAATCGGTAAGGTATATGGTGGCGGTGTAAAGTACGAGTAAACGACATAAACAAGAAAACCTGAAAGAAACCAGTTTAGAGGGTTTTCTTGAAGTTGTGTTAAGAGCAATTCCATATGTGTTACCAATTTTTTTTGTCTTGGAAGTGTGTGATACAAAAATTTAGAAATGATAAAGTTCCTTTTTACTTGAAAATTTTTTGGATTATATTAACATAAAGTCTTTTTTAGTTAGTGATTACCATTTATAAACAGCCAGTGAACTTTTGCAGTTATAACCTAATAAAATTGGCGCGTATCAGTATTGTCCGTTATTCCATGTGATAAATGCTAAGCCTTTTAACGAACGCAGTTTTCAATTTAAATAATAATGGTAAATATAACACCGTCTTATCACCATGAAATCTGTACTTTGAAAATCAACCAAAATACACCAACTACCAAATTTATATTATATATGCGATTTATTATATTTGATCATTGCGACTTTATAAAAATTTCGTCCATAATAAAGTTTCAAAAGAATTTACTTTTTTTTTTTTTTTTTTAAAAAAAAAAAAAATTAAATAAAAAAAATAAATAAATAACTCCCCTTTTAAGTTCTTTTTTTTTCTCTTGAAATTTTTCACTTTTAATTTTAATTTCAGTATTAGATAATTATTTTTTTTTTTTTTTTGCTGACTTATTATTCTGAATGAGACTTACGAACGATTTGAGAGACTAACGGAATCCAACATTATGAGACTACGCAGACTTGCTTTCACCCCCGTGTGCTCATTTTTATTGTGGGCGCTTATTATTTGCACTTTTTTTCTGTTTCCATATGCCAAGTCGAGACTTGACTCTAAAGATCTTATACAATTTCGACCTCCTTTTTACAAACGTTTAGTCAGTGAGGAGGTTAAAGCACTTCCACCTAAACTTAACCTAAGCCCAATTAACTTGGTTCTGATTTCAACATTGGATGGCAACCTGCACGGTGTCGACCGGTATACTGGGCAAATTATATGGAGTTTAAAAGGTGCCGCCGAAGGTTCCTTGATAAGAACATATACGCGTTCGTCTACCAAGCAACATAATGTTACTAGGAATAAGGAGGAAAACAATGATATTGTGAGGGACGGAGACAATGATGACGTGAATTATTCCCACAAGCAGGACAAAAATTATTCCGGAGATCGACAAGATGATTCTCAATTAACAAAATTAAAGGATGATGTTGATGACGATGATGATTCTGATCGTGAAATTACGTACATTGTTGAACCAACCAATGATGGTATATTGTACTTGTTTTCTCCAAAGACAGGATTACAGGTAGATACATTCTCAATAATGTTTATTAATTATATATAGTTCTTTACTATATTTCATTCGTTAGATTTACATTTCGGGGATTTGAAACGGTGTTTTTATTTGGGATGATATCGTGTGTTCACTCGTTGTTATTATAATACATTATTATTGAATGACTGTAAATTGAAATGAAAAAAATAGAAATTTCCATATACCGTTAAATATCTCGTGATGAATTCACCATTTCGTTCTGCTGACGGTAAAATATTTATTGTTGGCAGTAAATCAACAAAATTCCTCGCCATCGATCCTGCTACTGGAAAGATTCTACAATTTTTCAGTAGTGACGGAGTAGAGAAAGAATGTCCATCCATGGGATCGGTACCTAGAGATGCTATATTTATGGGTATTAATGGTAATTAATTTCTTTGTAACGTTATTATCATTAAAAAAGGGGGGGATTTTGGTTTAAAAATTCTCATGTTTGAATTATTTTCAAATTAGTCTATAAAATATCTATCTTCGAACGTGGCATACCAAAATGGAATACTACCTACACTGAATACGTACCGCACAGTTTCGATTTAAAAATTGAGCAGTTGCACAAAACGTCGCCCGATGATCTATACATCGCGTCAACTCATAACGGAGAAGTTCTTTCTACCGAGTCTTCATCTGGTAATTTTTAGTTTCCATTGAATTAGATCTAACATTAGGTTTTATTGAATAAGGAAGGGAATCATCGTTTATGTATTATATTTATCCCATTTTTAAGGTCAACATGCTTGGTATCATAAATTTTCTTCTCCGGCAGTTAATGTATTTGACGTGTTGGCATCAAAGGATCTACCAAGCGGTCTACATATCGTAAGACAACCTCGACCTTCCGACACATACCATCAACATCTGAAAAAATTACACCCTTCTTCTCAACTGGCAGCATATATAGGTGATAACGACGGCACATTATTTGCCATGTCGGTTGAGAATTATCCATTGACACAATTCATCGCTGATTCTTTATGGTTCGATTATTATAACAAGCGAATTTCTAGCGAAAAGAAAAATGAATCACAAGATAATGGAGTTCTTTGTCGCCCTGGTTCTAGTATATACCCAGCGTGTTTGATCGGAAAGCATAATTTAGTTACTGGGGAACCGCAGCGTCCAGGCATTGAAGGTCCTCCGGTCAGAAAAAACATAAATCCCAACGGTTTCTTGTTTGAACCAGAAGCAAGGTCAATTGCGCAGATTGGTTTGTCTTGGGCCTTTATTATCTTTGCCGTTTCTTGTTTTGTATTTTTGAATAAAGTACTAAGGAATGGAAGTCATCGTCAGTCCTTCAAGAAAACTATATCGTCTTTCTTAAACTTTAAAACACAATACGCCGCCAGTAATAATGGTGATGCTTTTACGAAAGAACTTTTGAACACCAAAAATAATAACAAAAAAGAAATTGGAAAAAAGAAAAAGAAAAATGCTAAAAATCCAACCGTTAATACCAAAAAAATAGAATTAAAAGATGAAGACAAAGGGAAATTTTCTTCCCCCAAAGTTCAATTTCCTAAAGAAGTGTTACAAAAAACCGAGGTACTTGAGGATATTCCGGTTGCTAATCCTCAATCGACCACGAGTGGGATAAACTCAACCGAACAAAGTATTAATACAAATGGCGAAATAAAATTGAACTCGTTGATAGTATCCGACATAATTTTAGGTGGGTGTCGTTAGACGAAATCATTTCATTTATTTAATTAGATGAGGAAACCTATTAACCCTTCTATTTTATTTAATAGGTTACGGAAGTCATGGTACAATCGTATATAAGGGAACGTTTGAAGGACGTGACGTTGCGATTAAACGGTTGTTACTTGATTTTTACGATGTTGCACATCACGAAGTGTCACTTCTTCAAGAAAGTGATGATCATCCAAATGTAATTAGATATTTTTGTAAGGAGCAATGTGACAGATTTTTGTACATTGCCCTCGAACTATGTCCTGCCTCATTACATGATTTGGTTGAAAGGGGTTCGACGTTTCAGTATGCAGATTTATTAACCTCATCACACCCTTCCAAGATCCTTCATCAAATCATTTCCGGTTTACATCATTTACATTCAATGAAAATTGTTCATCGAGATATAAAACCACAGAACATTTTAATTTCACCTTCAAAACATAAGAGAATAATACAAAAGGATGGTGTTTCACAACAAACCGTTCCTGTGAGGGTATTGATTTCAGATTTCGGATTATGTAAAAAATTGGAGGGGGATTCCAGTAGTTTTCATAATACTACAAATAATGCAGGTGGGACTATTGGTTGGCGAGCACCAGAATTGCTTTCACCATCAATACCGCCTTCACCAGATGGAAATAATAATAATAATGTTGATTCGGTTTGGACATCCGTAGATCGATTGAATGATAATTCATTTACTTCTTCATCATCAACAGGATCAGATTATGATAACGGACAACCACGAAGAGTAACAAAGGCGATTGATATTTTTTCAACGGGCTGTTTGTTTTATTATGTATTATCGGGGGGTGATCACCCGTTTGGTGATCGATATTCTAGAGAGATAAATATTTTAAAAGGAGTTTATGAACTAACAAAGTTGGATGGAATGGGAGAAGAAGGAATTGAAGCAAAAGATCTAATAATGAGAATGATAGAACGAGATCCAAAAAAACGGTATGCTTTGATTCATTAAATGATTTTGAATATCAACAATGTTGTCCATCAAAAATTAATTTACTAAAAAATACTCTTTTCACTTGATTTAAAGACCAAAAGCGGAAACCGTAATGTTACATCCATATTTCTGGTCACCGTCTAAGCGCCTTGGATTTCTTCAGGACGCGTCCGATCGTTTTGAGATAGAGGAAAGGGAACCTCCCTCACCATTACTTCAACGATTAGAACAAGGTGCGGTGAATATTATAGGACCAGATTGGTATAAACGAATCGATAGAGTGTTGGTGGAAAATTTAGGCAAATACCGAAAATATGATGGTTCTAGAGTGAGGGATTTATTAAGAGCGTTAAGAAATAAGGTACTTCACCCTTGTGATAAATGGTTTCCTTCATGATTGATTGATTGATTGATTTATTAATTTATTGTAAATTTTTATTTTTATTTTTGCAGAAACATCATTACCAGGATCTTCCTGAACATGTCAAAAGATCTTTGGGTGAAATACCTGATGGGTTCCTTTTTTATTTCACATCAAGATTTCCTCAATTGATGTTGCACGTGTATTATGTGATTGCTGAGTCAGAAAAACTAAAGAATGAAAGCATGTTTAGGCACTATTTTGATTTATCTGGCGAATTTTAATTTTTTATTTTATTTAATTTAGATAACTCACATTTTTTTTTAATAGAATCAAAAAAAAAAAAAAAAAAGGGTGGGAGGATTTTATGAGAGGATGATCTAAAAAAATTTCTTTGTAAAAAACAAAAAAAAAAAAAAACATTTGTAATATATCAGAAAAACTAAAAAAATAAAAATAGAAAAAAATCAAAAAAATCAAATCCAAAAATATTTATATATATAAATATAAATTTTTGTTAGCAGTCCCGAAATTCTAAGTGAATTAATTGTTTCCAACTCGCGAACCAATTATTTTTATTTATAAAAGTAATAATCATTTTATTAAAAATAAAAATTTTTTTTTTATTATTATTATTCTGGATTTACTTTCTTTGCAACTCACATTTTTGAGGAAAAAAAACGAATAAAAGTAAATTAATAGAAAGTTGAAGGACGTTTGGCCAAGAACGTAGTTTTCCTTGATCTTCGTACACGATGAGGAAGAGGGAATTTGAGATTGGGTTGGAGTAGTTGAGTGATATATGGACGTCTCACCTAAAAAAAAAAAATATGAATGAATGAAATGATTCTTGATAATATAAATTAAGAGAAATTTGTAGAGAATGAATTAAAGAATTAATTAATTACTTGAGCAGTCTTCAATTCCGCGACACGCATAATTTGAATTGAAGAAAATCGAGCACGATGACGAGCAGCCATATCTTGGTCTATGATTATATTTAAAAGGAAAAAAAAAAAAACACTTTAGATAAATCTAAAAACGATAAATTCGTAGTATTTTTTGATAACTTACAACAAGAATAAACGGCATCAGTTCTAAAATGAATGAGATTAGCGTAATGAAGTTAATTATGAAAAACAAGAATAAATGCGACAAATAATGCTTTTAAACCTGGTCATTTCCCGATATTCCTTATACATATTATGTGTGCCAGAACGAGAATCATAACGAAGCCATATACCGAAAATTTTAACTTGTAGAGGTCTTTTTTCAAAGACCTTAATTAAATGTGATCATGATTAAAAAAAAAAAAATAGAGGATACCCAAATAAAATCAATTTGGCACGGCTTGAAACGTACCTCATTAATAGAAACAATTTCACCGGCGGCTTTTTTCACTTTTTTGAGTTTTTTAAGGAAGTACCAAAACCTACTTTTCGCAACAACTTCATTAGGGGCAAAAAGTCTCATACGATAAAGTCTTGGAATACTGTCTTTTTTGCTTGGAAGTTTACGACCAACCACTTGATACTCGTGAAACTATTAACAAATTGTAAAATGATGAAAAAAAAATATTCATATCCATCCCCAATCAAATTAATTTAAAGAATAAATAGTTTATATGATGAGAATTCTAATTATTATTACTTACTCTACCCATGTTGGCGATGGATATGGATGTAATGAAAAGAGAGAGAATCAAGATTTATTTAGAGAAAGAATTTTATACCAAAAAAAAAAAAAAAAAATTTGTTGATCACGTGAATATAATTAAAAAAATTTTTTTTTGTGTTAGATAATCAGCAATTTTCGGCTTCTTTTTTTTTGGTTTAGGAATTCTTTAAACAAAATGTTTGCCATTCGAACTATTCGCCCTGTTGTGGTTAACACCACCCAGAGGTATGCATAAGTAATTTTAGAGGGTAGTTAGAATTTATTTCCTCTAAAAAAAAAGTTTTACCTCGAGATTTTTTTTTTTTTGCTTCCAAAAATTATCATATCGTTTAAAATATTTTCTTCATTGATAAAATTGAAAAAATCGGTGGTCGTTCGTTGATTTTAGCGTCGGGTGTCAAAACCGTAATTATGCTACTTTAAAAGAAAGTAAGTTTAAGTACGATGATTATCATTGGTGTTAACATTAAAAAAAAAAAAAAAATTAAAAGCATTTTGATTATGATTAGTTCAATTACGGCTAAAGTCGGTTAACAGTATTGCGAAGGTACCCTTTTGTTGCTTCATTAAATTCTAGATATTTCTTTGTTTATACTTAGCATTAATTATTTTGTATCAATTCGATTTAAAAATAGATTACAAAATCGATGAAAATGATTGCGTCAACAAAGATGAATCGGTACGTTTATAATGGATCATTTTAATGGTATTGTCATCGATATTTATTAAATAAATTTTTAAAACAATCAAAGAGCTCAAAGGGCAATGGAGGTCGCAAGAACATTTGGTAGTACTCAAACAGGTGAGAATTTTTTTTTTATTTTTTTTTTCACATTTTTAAATCTTAAGATTTTTAATTTAATAGATTTCTTTTGATGCATATATAGCTTTTTTCACTCATGCTGATACCAAACAAACGGAAGATGGAAATACCTTAGTTATCACAGTTTCATCGGATAGAGGACTTTGTGGTGGTATTCATAGTAGTGTATCAAAGTTTTCGAGAAAAATTATTGAAGGGAAACCAGATTCTCAAGTAGTAGTATTAGGAGATAAGGCAAAAGCTCAACTTTCACGTTCTATACGTGAAAATATTAAACTTTCTTTTAATCAAATTGGAAAATCTATCCCTACTTATAATGAAGCAAGTTCTATCGCTGATGTTGTTTTAAAAGAAAAGCTTGACTTTGACCAAGCCACTATTGTATATAATTATTTTAAATCTGTTATATCTTATGAGGCACAAACTATTCCCGCTTTTTCCGTATCAACTTTTACAAAATCTGGTAATTAATTTAATTAATTAAATATTTTATATAATGTTTATCTATTTTTATACAAGGCAAACCCTTTTAATTTATTTCATTTAATAAATAGGTAATTTTGATTCTTATGAAGTCGAGGATGATGTTTTGGAAAATTTACAAGAATTCGCCTTTGCAAATTCCATTTACTGGGGACTTGTTGAAGGTCATGCCGCTGAAATGGCTTCTAAACGAAGTGCTATGGAAAATGCTACCAAGAACGCTGGTGAAATGATTGAAAAACTTACTATGACATATAATCGTGGTCGTCAAGCTGCCATTACTAATGAATTGGGTAAGAAAGGGTGTGATTTTCCTATATAATCAAATACTTTACATGAATATTAATATATATTTATATTATTATTTTTTTTTTATTAATATAGTGGATATTATTACTGGAGCGTCCGCTATTTGAGTTATATAGACATTTTGTAACATCATCATTAAAAAATTTCTTTTTTTTTTTTTTTTAAAAAAAAAAAGACAACATGCAGAATGCTAGGAATAAAGTTTATTTTGTCGTTTCTGTTTTCTGTTTGAATTTATTTATTTCACCTATTAGGTAAAATGAAACTTCAAAATAAAGAGAAAAGAATTAAAACATATCATTAATATAATTATTATTTCCCAACTATTTAAGCTTTGAACCAATCATACAAAGGAATTCCTTCTTGAGATTTAAGAAAACACTCGTATTGAGAAGTTAAATAATTCTCCCTTTCCTTTTCATATCTTTCTTTGTCTACTTTTGCTATATCTTCCCACATTTTCCTTTCAGAGAGTACCATTTGTTTCCATTTATTATTAATGCTTTTGTTTATTTCTGTTTGTCGAGATTGTAGGCCATATCTATAATTACTATCAAATTTGACTGTTCTTTGATAATGATCGCATGCACCTATGCATGGTACTGGCACTTTGAGTCCGTATCGTCGATCTTGTTGAAATTGTTGTACGTCACGAGGTTTATGATCATTCTCTTCATTGGAACGGTTCATATTACGTGGATGAAATGGTATCGTTGATGTAAAATAAAATGGAGCCCTTTTATTTTCACCAGGCGATGCTACGTTTTCTTTGTCGAAAGGTTTGACAAAGAATTGTATTTCAAGGGGTTTATCGCATTTTACTGAAGGTTTAGAAATAAACGTTTGACCAGTTTGCATGTTTTCTTGAGTGAATGAAAGAATGCGAGTGTTAGCTGAAATGTTTTTTTGATATGAAGATTGTACGTCCAATTGATTGTCCACGACAGTAAGGTCCTTTTTAGTCACAACTTCACTTTGACGTGTCGTATAAATTGGGGGTATTGTAACTAATTCCCCATTTTCAACACTATTTTCAATCATTTTAGATGGTTGTAACCAAGGTTCACAGTGGGAATATGTAGGAACTTGAACTGTTTCATGATGTGATTTTTTGTGATTATTATATGTATGAATTAATTCTTGAATATAACTTTGGTTGGATTCATCAACTTCGGATCCTTCTTCAGTATTATTAAACAAGTCATCAAAATCGTTGTCGGATGAGTCATTACTATCAGTATTTGAAACATGATTTTCATAACCCTCACAACTTTGTTCAGCCATCGTTACCCAAGGAGCTCGATGGTCCGGTGACATATTATTCCAATTATCATGTAACACTTGTTTAACACCTTCGAAATTCATGTTAGGATACACTCGCAACAAACTTGGTGAACCATCAATTACATAATGTGCAAATGCGGTTGATGGTTGTTCTAATGAATCGACTGACACTGTAGATGATGAATTGGCATTTGAATCATATTGATATGATTCTTGCGTATAAATGTTTAAATCTGACACGTCCTCATCACTTTCTTCGCTCCTTTTATAATATAAGAGTTGTCTTGATTTTTTGGATGGATAACGCGTCTCTTTCAATTTCACAACCAAATCCCTTACATGTTCAAGTTGCACGCCTTTTTCGCACTTTTTTTAGCATAAGCTTGGTAAGATACTTAATATAATACATAAAACATGCCAGGCGCGCTCATATCAATTATATTTTATCCATAAAATGCAAACCTCGCTGAGTCGCTTCCAATTCAATTCTTTAGCCTTCTCGGAATATTCATTTTTCTTTTCCTTGATGATGATAAACAAAGTTTATGAATATATTCTTTAAAACAATAAATACAGTACATAAATAATACAAACTTCAGACAAACTTCTCCAATTATTAGCGAGCGTTATGGAAAGCTCCCTTACAGACATATCTGGATTCATTTCCGAAATTTCAAGTCTTTGCTCGTCATTGTGAAGTAAGTAACCATATACAGGACTTTCTACAGTATCTTCATAATTACGCGTAAAACTTTCAAATAACTCCATTACTATTATTTAAGGCCTTAAAATTGATTTTATTATTATTATTATTATTATCTCGATGAGAATTTAACCTATATTTGTTCTAAAATATTTACGTGTTTTAACGCGTCATAAAGACATAACTATACTTAGAATTTCGTCATCTGACAAACTACTTAGTATATTTGTTTTTCACAATAGCAAAAACGCAAAGAAAAAAATGAAGTTTGCAAAATTTAAAATAAAAATCTGGATCGAAGATGATTGGTTAAAATAAAATAAATTTATTTTTTTCATATAATTTTTTGGCTGTTATTATAAAATTTAACTAAAATTAATATAAGACTTTCAAAGCTCTTTAGAACATTTATAATGAAAATATATTTTAAAATTAAGCACCCGATCACGTGATCATATAAAAAATTTTAACGAAAGTCCCATATCGCGTAACCTGTTTTTTAGGTTTTTGAGATCAAAGACTACCGAACTGGAAAATTTTTAGTATAAGTTTAACTCAAAAATGGTTAAAATATACGAAATTCTTACCTTTTGTTATGTAGTTTGTTAAGATAGAACAAACTAATAGAATAAGTTTTGAAATAAACTTATTTCCGTCGCTAAGAGAATTTTTTGTTTGAAGTTTTTGTATAAAAAATAGGCTATATTAATTGAAATTCTTATATATATATACAGTCGAACCTCTATATACCGATGCTCCTGTTTTGAGAAAATGTATCGGTACACAGAATTATCGGTATACTATGAAAATTTTATATACCGATATTATTTATTATGTTGATCAAATATCGGTATAT